CAAAACGACAGTCCACCTGTATACCGAAAACATTGCACTTTCAATCTCTCTCTCTCTCTCTCTCTCTCTCTCTCTCTCTCTCTCAATTGGTTTTATACGGGGCCGGTTGCAACCCCGTCATTTCACAATAGTGAGGATCTCGTTCTTGAATTCCAGAATGGCGATCTCTCTATCCTTTTCCGCCATGGCAGCGCGAATCTCGTCGCAGGAGGCACATGATGACGTGTTCGATGTTGAAGCCTCCCGCCCTTTCCCCCCACACGACAAACTGATGTTTGCGAACTCTGTTTGGAGCTCGCTGTCCGGGGCCTTCGTTCCCGAACCGCTCCCATGAACCACTTCGTCGTAGAACCTCCATGTCGTCTTTGCCTGCCCACGAGCCACCGGCAAATCATCCTCAACGGACTCCAACCTTCGCATGGCGTCGTCTCTTTCCTGTGTTGCCTCACGCAGTGCACGGGATGCATGATCAAATCTCCCCCGCATATCTTCCGCTCGCTGTCTCCATTGATCTACATGTCGCCGTATCTGCATGTTCTGAACAACAAGATCGTCACAACATTGCCGCAACGCGTTCCGCGAGTCTTGCACCCTCTTCAACACTGAAGCCGCCCATCGACGAGCATGTATGTTCTCCAGAGAGATGTCGGTTTCACTTACCGACCTCCCATTCCGCAATGTCACCGTGATGCTGTCTCCCCTATCAACCAAGAATCGGTGTAGCCGCTCGACCTCCTTCTCAGTCTTCTCCAAACTATCTAAGATTGCACGTCTTTCATAGGTGTAGCACCTTTGTTGTCCGGCGTCCGCCATGGATGCACGAGATATTGTGCAAGTGTCACACACAACACGGTGTAACGTTTGCAACTCCCTTCGCCCACCCGACCTCCCTTTGGAGACTGGGGACCGAAGCAAGTTGCATGAAATGGAGTGAAGGAACTTGCCTGTTGGCTAATGAATTTCTATTTTTAGTGGCTCCAATTTAAGACGCGGCAATAATGTGAACGCAACGCTGGCCTGTTCACAAGTGGGCCCGGACTTACAAGGCCTGCGAACGGCGCAGTTCCCACAAATGCAAGACCTCCGTACAAAGTGCGTCCCTCACGGCCAGGCCACGCTCCCTTCCAAACATGTACTCTAGAGGGGCACCATCCACACGCCTGTCAACACCGGGTGGCGGACCTTCAGGACACGATGAATCGCTGTCTTCGTCGTCCGCCTCCGGCAAATCACCCCAATCCTGAAGGAGGTAATTAATTATGCAACACGCACGGAACTCCAACCTCTCCGTTGCAATGTCACATATATGCGGCCGATAGAAGTACTGGAAACGCATTTTGAAAACCCCAAAGAATCGCTCAACACAAGACCTGACAATCTTGTGAAGAGCGTCGAAGCGCTGCATGGCCCTCGTCAGGCGGGGCTGTCGGCCGTATGGGATCACAAGCCAAGAAAGATTGGGGTATCCGCCATCACCAAGCAAGTACCCTCCAGGAACACCGGTGATGGAAGGCCTCTGAGCACGGAAGGGGTCTTCAGGGTCGTCGACGAACAACGACCCTTTCAGGGCTCGCCTGTACAGCGACGTGTTCTTCAGAACACGTGCATCGCCGACAGTCCCCGGAAAGCCGTAGCAAAAATCAAGGACATGCAGCTCGGAATCGACCACGAGTTGCGCAACAACTGAGAACCGGTTGTTACGACCGGAGCAATAGTCGTCGCCGTCCTTCGTTCGTGGCTTGTCGACGTACACATGTGTGCAGTCAATGCACCCCCAGCAATTAGAAAAACCCAATGCCTCAAACTGCTGCATTCGACGGTGACTATCCTCTAGTCCACCGAAACCAACTGCATGTGGATACGCGGCGTGAATGGCATCCGCCACCTCTTTCACTGCACGTATGCCACTGGTTTTCCCCATCCCATACGCGAATGAACTGTGCCAGTGCGAGTCGCCATGGGCCCATCTATGGAGAGCATACGCAAGCTTCTTAGCAGGCGGCAACGGTAACCGAAACTTTGTGACCTTCTTTTCCAAAAGCGGACCGACCTTACGAAGCAGTCTGTTGAATGTCGAACGTCGCATGCACAAGAGTCCTATGTAATGGTCGTTCTCGGCGTCGTCCGTGGGAACGAGGTCCCTCCACAACCCAGCCGTCCGCCTCGTCACCCACCACCTAGGCGGAGCCCGCGGAGACAGGTTGCAGATGTGAATGATGGCTGGCAACAACCATACCAGACCACGCCGTCCCCATGTTTGGTCATCGTCGTCTTCTCCACCGGCCGAGTCCATGCTTTCCAAGTGAGGGCCCAACAAGGGTGTCAAGCTCCGGGCCCCCAGCAGGGAATCAAAGGACTGGAACGCATCCTCGGCCATCCTCCCGGCAATGGCCATGACTGCAACAGCGACCTCTTCTAGCTGTCTCCTCCTGAGTTGGGGCATTGCTGACACTGAGGCGAATCACGTTGTGCACCGCCACCAGACCCTCGATCTTCCGCCAGACCCTTGATATTCCACAGCCAACCCTCGATCTTCCACAGCACATCCCCCCTCTATGTGCACCCCCAGCCTGTGTAACACTCCGTATGACGTACGGGGGGTTTATCGTACGGTCGTACGTACGGCC